CCCCAGGTTCTCTTTGTATAGCACCTGCGAGGTACAAAGTGGTACCCAAAAGTCACAAGGATGCAATATTCACTATTAGGTATAATGCAATTGGGGGAGGGGAGGGGAAGCTATGTTTAATCTATTATTATTGGTGAGAACAGCTCTCAAAAAGAAAGCATTTAAAATAGTTAATGAGGGCTGGCCAGTTAGCTCAATTGGTTAGAGCGTGGTGCTGATAATACCAAAATCAAGAGTTTGGATCCCCTTACTGGCCAGCCTCCGAGAAAAAATATAAGCAAAATGAAAATAGATAGTTAACAGCAATGGTAAATGTAGCATGATATCTAGAGGAGATTCAAATATAACTGGCATTTGTTTTCAACCTGGGATGGGTTAGGAGCAGGCCAAACTGCAGGGGTTACTTTGCAAAATTAAAAGCACTTTGGTTTCTCAAGACAATACCGAGCTAATGTTTTCTTGATTGCGTTTGACTCTCTGCATCTCTGGAGTGACAGGGGTTGGGGTGCCTTTCCCCACATTTTCTTTGTACAAAACCTAGCGAGTCCAGTGGATCCAAAAAGAAAAAAAAGAATTACAGTTACCAAAAGAGGAAACAGAACAGATAACTTTTGCTAAGGCTCAGGGTACCAAATCATTTGGGCAATAATGTTAGGTAGAAAGCAGTATGTTTCCAAAGGAAGTTGAATGTAGTTACAGCAAGACACGTTTCCAAAGTAGGACCCTGTCCTGAAATCCTTGCAGACTGTAACAGAGAGCTGCAGTGTTCCCAAAAGGGTTGAGAGGCCACCGTCATTTTATCACTAGTCTGTGAATGTCAAGCCCCTGACAGATCATCTAAACAGGAGTTACAGGCATGGGCTTGAATCACAACAAGCATAGCCGCAGCTTACTGGACCTTTATGCAGCACTTAAAGTCTCACAGGCGTATCAATACAACTGTAGGCCCTCTGACAAAGCAGAGGGTTTTGCCTCCCCATTTTTTCTTCCTATTATCTGTGCTCTGCCTCTTGCTTTAGTTTAATACAACATCAAACTTATCAGTGAAGAAAAATGATTTTGGCAATTGCATCATGATAAATCAATAGGAAATATACTAACACATCATAATAAATCCTTAACCTTGATGTCTCCCAAGTGTCATTCTTGGAAACAGAAGATTTAGGAAATGGCATTCAAGAGGAAGAATTCTGTTAAAGTAGTGGTTCTCAAAGTGGGGTCCCTGGATAGCAGGGTCAGTATCACCTGAGAACTTGTTAGAAATGCAAATTCTCTGGCCCTGTACTAGACCTACAGAATGAGAAACTGGAGGCAAGACCCAGCAATCCAGTTTAACAAACCCTCCAGGTGACTGCAGTGCATGCTGATATTTTAGAAGCACTGAGCTCAAGTATTGGAGAAACCCAAAGACAGTGTAAATGTTGAGGGCCACAAGGGTGTTCACTACTGAAAGCTAAAGTCCCACAAACACCAATCCCCTGGTAACTTATAAACATATTTAATATCATAGAGCAAAAGCTTGCAGGAATTGGTTTGCTGAAATTAGCAGTTAAAGAACATGATAAGACAAAAGAACAACAACAAAAAACCCCTAAAATCGGTAAAACAAAAAGCCATTCTGGTGACACTTTTCTTTTTAATTAACAATGAACTTAAAAACACTACTGGGTCATAAATTTATATTATTATCTTTGAAGGAGAAGATCAGGGCATAATTTTCTCAAGGTCTCTTTGTCCAAATCTGAAAGGATAAATTAGAACCTGAAGTCACCAACACAAAATCACAAGGAAATCACAACTGCAATATTCAAGAAAGAGCCCCATTATACCTGCTATACCACCCAGTCATCCCCATCCCAATTTTCACCAGTATGTAAAACAAAGAGACCTTAAGGGTATGGATAGAGAATAAGTTTTGGGGAGAGATGAGCAAAAGGATGTTTTATAGAAAAATCTGTTACCTCTTGATATTAGAACTTTAAATTATGGATTAAAGCAATCTTGTTATTATGGGGTTAAGGCTAGGAGCAGCCCTTTAGGAAAGAAGGATAAATGTGGTAAAGAAATTCACAAAATTTGAGTTGTCTTTAAAAAGTTGGATTAATATGTATTATTTAAATCGTAGTAGTTTTTTAAGTCATTAAAGAAGTAGTTTATTTTTCTTGCCAAAGTACCGAGCTAATATTTTCTTGATTGTGTTTGACTCTCTCCATCTCTGGAGTGACAGGTAAAGGGGTTCCCTTGCCCATGTTTTCTTTGTATAACACCTGTGCGACAAGAAAGCATCCAGAAAAACAACCATAAGTCACATTTCATTTGTTGTGAGGTTTTAAGGTGAGGTCAACTTTCTTGTTATGAAATAACATTGTGGTCCAAGGAGCCAGGAGTTATAAGCTGACAAGATGCCACACACTACTTTAATGGAAGCCATTATTGGGATGGGCATTCCGCACCCTCTGGGGCAGAGAGGACTGCAGCTGCTGGGGGAAGGCTGTCAGAGTTACCCATGTTACTGCTTTCATTTCTATGAGCATGGCGCCTCCTAAACAATCACATGGGGATATGAGATTGTTAGAACTCAATGTTGTTGTTATCCACACAAACTAAAAGATTCATTATTCTTATTTAAAAAAAATTTTTTAAAATATCAGATGAAGTAAAAAATCAAAGTTAACTGTATTACAGAAGTGAGAAAGTATGTCCTTTTGCTAAGTAAGATACATTAGAAGCAAAGGAAGGGAAGTGGGTTTAAAAAGAAGAATAAATGTTAAGTATCAGTCTAATTCCGAGATTAAGTGGCGTCTTTTTTCCCTTTTCTTTCCAAAAATACCGAGCTAAGGTTCTCTTGATTGTGTTTGACTCTCTGCATCTCAGGAGTGATGGGGATTGGAATTCCTGTCCCCAGGTTTTCTTTGTATAGCACCTGTATAATAAGAAAGCATCCAGAACAAAAAGAGCAATCAATCACTTTCCCCCTCTTTTGGAGCAGTTGGGAGGGGGGGGAGAGGAAGGAGGAAGAGAATGAGTTAGAGGAAGGGAAATACCAGAAGCTTTCAGATTCAACCTGGATGAGCCTAAAGGTATCCTTAAAGCAAAGGAAGGCAGGGAAGAGCAGCAAAAACTAAGAAATATGGAAAAAAAAAATTTTATGTTTGCTGTTTGAACTAATCTCTGCAGCACTGAGCAAAGAAGAGCATCATGAAAGGAAGCAATTAGTATTCCCCAGCTTGTTATCAGGAGAGAAAAAACAGACAAGAGAAAGAAGCAAACCAAGGAAGTTACTTGTGGTTTGAAAATGCTATTAATAAATCACATAAGGATATTTGGGTTCATCAAACATTGTATATATGATGCTACATACACACAACTCTTGTCGACTTTCGAAAGAAGCCAAAGTATTTAATTTTTAGTTTGGGTGAACATACTGGGAGGAATTATTTTTAAGGCACATGGAGAGCAATGGCAAGATGCTAAAAAAAGAAACTTCAAAATATCTGTACAAACACCAGTTGAGACAGAGAAGGTTAGAATAGGAAATGAGGCCAACAGTTGGATCTTCACAGAATAAATTTTTTGAATCTTTATATTTGGATCAAATTTGCCAAAGCAGGATAAATGTGAACGTTTAGATGCTGAGAATGTTACATTTTTAAAAGCTAAAATATAATACTGAACACTTCTTTTTTATTAAGTCAAATGATTATTAATGTTTAACCAAAATGGGGTAACTGATTCACAGGGAATGTAAGCATTAAGTTGGGAACAAGACAGGTCAATTTTTTTTATTGGGATAAATTAATTAGATTTTTAAAATCTAGCCATTAATCTTTTAATAACATTTTTAAAATAGTTAAAGGGATTTTTAAAAATTTTATTTTAAATACCGAACTAAAGTTTTCTTGATTGTGTTTGACTCTCTCCATCTCTGGAGTGATGGGGATCGGAATCCCTTTTCCGAGGTTTTCTTTATACCACACCTGTATGACACAAGAAAGCATCCAGAAAAAACAAGAGCAGTCAAAACAGCCCTTTGGTCTGTCTTTTAGGGAGCCTAGTAAGAAACTACAGACGTCAAGCAGGAAAGACAAATTCACAAAGTCGACCTCTGTTCAGGCACAGATCTGGGTGAGACATGTTTATTATTTCCTCAGCCAAAGTGCCAGTGTATTTGATGTTAATCTTTTTACTCTAACTAACATATAAATGTTTATTTCCTGTGTCAGGAATTAAGGGTGGGAAATATATATATAATTATATAATATATAATTATATAATTATATATAATTTCGTATGAGCACTAAAATGCTCAGTGTACAAAAAATAGAAAAGTTGTCTTTTGAATTAGATTAGCAAATATTTATTTTCCCTACACAGAACATTTGTCCTACAGTATAACAGATATTTAAAACCCCAGACCACATCTATGCAACATGGCAAAGTTGGTCTGTGCTGAGTAAGTTCAGGTTGTAGAGATGGTCAAGTCTAGAAGTCAATGTTTTCATATATGGTATTGTTTATTTCCCAGAGTCTAAAAGCCTATGTACCACTGGACAATTTTGCCTAAATGCAACATGTGTAAAAGTTAACACAAACAGTTACTTTAAAAAACAAAGAGTTTGTTCAGGACCATTAGGATCATTAAGGTTTCAAATAGATACAAACAATAAAACACTCTAATATAGAAGAAAACAATTAAAAAATAATTTTGAAAATTGATCCAAGCATTTCAATAAAAGGAATGATGATAATAGTAAACCCACAGGGAAAACAGTGCATATAACATTCCGACAGACGTATTAACTTACATTGAAAACAAAATTGAAAGGTTGTTAGTGAATAGTAATTGGAAACAAAACAAAAAGACAGTGGGACTGAAGAAAGTTACTGATCTAATTATGTGCAAGTATCAAACTTTTAGAAAATGGGCCGGCCCGTGGCTCACTCGGGAGAGTGCGGTGCTGATAACACCAAGGCCCCGGGTTCGGATCCCATATAGGGATGGCCGGTTAGCTTGCTGCCTGAGCGTGGTGCTGACAACACCAAGCCAAGGGTTAAGATCCCCTTACCGGTCATCTTTAAAAAAAAAAAAAAAAAACTTTTAGAAAATATTTAAACTGACAATCGAAGCATTTTAGATTAACCACCTTTCAAAAAAAAAAAAAAAAAGATCCAGCTAAATTTTCCAGATGACATTTGATTCTCCATCTCAGGCATAAGTGAACTTAGCTAAAATCCTCATTTGGAAGTTTCACGGACTTTTCAGCAACAATGATATTAATGAAAGAGAAAATAACATTAAATACAAACTCAAAAAAAAAAAATCAGAAGGCCTGGATTTCTATTCACAAAATAGCTAGTTTAGGACAAGTATCAAAACAAGATTGCTTTTGGTTTTAATATTGAACGATTTTCTTCCTCAGGACTACTGTTTATCTGGATAGGATCTATGTTAAGGTGGCCCCTGTTCCCAAGCACGAACCACTATTTCTACATGTGGCCTTGTGTCCAGTATTTTTTCTTGTAACTCAAACCCAGAAACAACAGATAAAAAGAGTTCCAAGTAAATATGAGTTTCAGTATTGGTTTTTTGGTTTTTTTTTAACTCAATTAAATTCAAAAGTCCCAGCAGTCACCTAAAAGTGAAAAGGAAAGGAGAGGAACCAATTAAAAGATTTAAGGGACTGTTACAGAAAGTATAAAACATTAGCATCAAATGGTGAGTATAAGATCTGGAAAATGGTAGAATTTGGTTGGTGAGATTTAAAAAAATAATAATTTGTTAAATTGATTATTGTAAAGGGACTAAGTGTGAGAAGTTTTGTTTTACAGAAATTATTATTTTAATATGGGGTTAAAGGAGCTTTCTCCCAAATACCGAGCTAAAGTTTTCTTGATTGCGTTTGACTCGTTCCATCTCAGGAGTCACAGGTATGGGGGTCCCCTTGCTCAAGTTCTCTTTGTACAATATCTGTGTGCACAAAACCGACAATCACATCAGCCTACACCCATCTTTTAGGTAGATGAACCTCAAAAAAGTCTCTAAAAGTATTTTTTGTTTTGTTTTTTTACAATGAAGTTAAATAGGCCTAAATAATCTTAAGAAATAGAACGACTACAGATCACCTTTGGACATTTGGTCACACACAGTCTGTCTCTGAGTGGCATCAGTATATACACAGCTGCCAGGCAGTGGACAAGGGTGGCTTGGCTTACATAGGCCTTCTCTCAAAGACAGAGGATTAGGCATTATCAAAACATACAATGAGTTTAGGGAACCAAAGGAAAGCGAGAAAGAGAGAGAAAGGTTTGGGGGAATGAAAGAAATATTAATAAATATTAAAAGCTAAATAAATACTAGCTCTCAATGATCCTGAAAATATTCCAAAGAAAAGCTCATTTATATCTTGCAAGATACACAAAAAAAACAGCTGAGACAAGTAAATTTGTATTTCTGAGTTAGTGTGAATTGCTGTGTCTTTGAATGAAAATGTTTAGGAATCACATTCTTTTAAGAAAAGCTGCAGACACAAAGAATACATCAGACAGAGCCATGATAAATACAAATAAGATTCTAATGAACATTGTCCTTTTGAAGAGGTGTTAGGTTTTTACTTCTGACTTGTGTCACACCAGTTAGAAATACCTATTGTTATTAGAGGAGGATTGGAGGGAGGAAACACTGAGTATTACAGGTTTTTAAGGAAAGTGACAAATATCTATGTTTTAGAGAAAGCGCAGTTAAAATTTCACACCAGAACTAAAGTAAATACTAGATTAGATTTGGGTTGAAAACTGAGGTAATATTTGGCATTATTATGTTCATTACATGAATTTAGTAATTTTACATTTGTAATTTGTTATTATTTTAAATAAGAATTAAAGGATTTTTTTTTCTTTTGCCCCCTAGGAAATACCGAGCTAAAGTTCTCTTGATTGCGTTTGACTCTCTCCATCTCTGGAGTGACAGGTGTTGGGGTTCCTTTCCCCAAATTTTCTTTGTACAAAACCTGTGAGATACAAGAAAGTACCCAGAAGACATTCAAAACAAGCACAAAGATTTAGGAACGGAGGACATCTGGGGTAAGGGGTGCGTGTGAGGAGGGCGTATTTTAGTAAGTAATATTTAGTAAAGATAATGCTATCACTTCACATTTTAAGGATGATCTCTACTATGCTAATTCCAGGTAAGAAAAAGTACAACAGGAAGCATCAAGTTACAGGATATGAGTATAATGATGAAGAATCTTGTGTTAATTCTATTTACAGTATTTCAGATTCACACTAGTCAGTTGCTGAAAATGTTAAAGTACAATCAGAAAAATGAGTCATTTTGTATTAAGTCGAGATGGTTTTGGTCAGGTAATGATACACACACACAGACACACAAAACTGTTAAGATGTTACTTTTGAAAAAAGGATGATGGGTTATTTTGGTAAATCTTTTCATGGGAAAGAGTTTCTTATTTGATATATTTGTAAATACCGAGCTAAAGTTCTCTTGATTGCGTTTGACTCTCTCAATCTCTGGAGTGACAGTGGTTGGAATGCCTGTTCCCAAGTTTTCTTTGTACATAACCTGTAGAAAATAATTAGAATACCCCAAAAGGTAAAATGAACATGAATCCTTCAGATTGCAGCTACACGTAGGCTATTTGGTGACAACTCATGAAAACAATCTAGCTTTCAAATATAACACTCAAGGAATAGGAGGAAAAGAAATTTCATAAATATTTACGTTTTCTTTCTCTCTTCAAAAGTAGTAATTTTACTACCTTGAAACTGGATACTAAATTATGCATTTTTTTCCCCTTTTTTTGAGGGTCCAGGTTTACTCTCTGGGGTAAGGAGAAGGGGTTATGCATTTTCTATAACCAACACTCAGTATGTTCCTAAAATGCATTAATAGTAATACATTTACAAATAAGAAAAGTCTATTTCATTGCATCTAAGTGTGCCTTGAAAATAGTAGGTATGCAGTAGATTTGTACTTAATAAATAGATGGCTTGGTTTTAAATTTTCTAATCATATGATAAAACAGAAAATTCTCGGGCCGGCCCCGTGGCTCACTCGGGAGAGTGCAGTGCTGATAGCGCCTAGGCCACGGGTTCGGATCCTGTATAGGGATGGCGGGTATGCTCACTGCTGAGCGTGGTGCCGACGACGCCAAGCCAAGGGTGATGATCCACTTACCGGTAAAAAAAAAATAAAACAAAATTCTCAACAAGCCTGAAGGAATGTTATTTTCTAATGAAAATTCCTAGCAGGCTCCTAGTCTGTAGGTATCCTTGATATGCGGAGACCATCTGTTTATTTTTCAGGAAGAGTATCTTTCTCTGAAATTCTTACTGATTGCTGGATCAAGTAAACTAGTGTTTTTTGAGCAGAGAAGTCCATTTTTTTGAGGGGCAATATCAAAGGATACAGTCTTTTTTTTTTGTCTTTTTTCGTGTCTGGCAACGGATCGCAACCCTCAGTGTCGCGCCTGTACCGGACCGGGACCGGCAATGGGATCGCAACCCTCGGTGCTGCGCCCGCACCTCGCTCAGCCAGTGAGCAGGAACCGGTCTGTATGTGGGATCCGAACCCTCGGCAGGAGCGCCGCTGTGCTCTCAAGCGGCGCACTGTAGCAGTGCGCCACCGGGCCGGCCCCAAGGATACAGTCTTTTTAATGAAAGGACTAAGCAACCTCCACTTTCTTAGCTGTTGACTCCTTCCCTCCTAATGTAAAGAATTTACAGCCTAAAGGAATGAATGAATTCTTTTTAAATGGATGGGTTCGATGGTGTACTTAGTGCATGGGGTGGGGAGCAACACCAAAAACCTTGGGGATATGTCATGGATTAATTCCTAAAATCAGTGACAAGCTGGCAGCATAGCTTTGTTTCACTAGGAAATGTAGGAGTCTTTGAAAATCTACTGTCTTGGTAACAAAGTTGTGTTTTCCCTTTACCCAGCAAGGCAGCTGAACTGATCATGTGGACAACAGAACAAAACAAAATAAGAGAAAAGCAAAAAGTTGCAATCCAAAGTGGCAACAAGCCATGAGATCCTGTATAGGGATGGCGGGTATGCTCACTGCTGAGCGTGGTGCCGACGACGCCAAGCCAAGGGTGACGATCCACTTACCGGTAAAAAAAAAATAAAACAAAATTCTCAACAAGCCTGAAGGAATGTTATTTTCTAATGAAAATTCCTAGCAGGCTCCTAGTCTGTAGGTATCCTTGATATGCGGAGACCATCTGTTTATTTTTCAGGAAGAGTATCTTTCTCTGAAATTCTTACTGATTGCTGGATCAAGTAAACTAGTGTTTTTTGAGCAGAGAAGTCCATTTTTTTGAGGGGCAATATCAAAGGATACAGTCTTTTTTTTTTGTCTTTTTTCGTGTCTGGCAACGGATCGCAACCCTCAGTGTCGCGCCTGTACCGGACCGGGACCGGCAATGGGATCGCAACCCTCGGTGCTGCGCCCGCACCTCGCTCAGCCAGTGAGCAGGAACCGGTCTGTATGTGGGATCCGAACCCTCGGCAGGAGCGCCGCTGTGCTCTCAAGCGGCGCACTATAGCAGTGCGCCACCGGGCCGGCCCCAAGGATACAGTCTTTTTAATGAAAGGACTAAGCAACCTCCACTTTCTTAGCTGTTGACTCCTTCCCTCCTAATGTAAAGAATTTACAAGGATACAGTCTTTTTAATGAAAAGACTAAGCAACCTCCACTTTCTTAGCTGTTGACTCCTTCCCTCCTAATGTAAAGAATTTACAGCCTAAAGGAATGAATGAATTCTTTTTAAATGGATGGGTTCGATGGTGTACTTAGTGCATGGGGTGGGGAGCAACACCAAAAACCTTGGGGATATGTCATGGATTAATTCCTAAAATCAGTGACAAGCTGGCAGCATAGCTTTGTTTCACTAGGAAATGTAGGAGTCTTTGAAAATCTACTGTCTTGGTAACAAAGTTGTGTTTTCCCTTTACCCAGCAAGGCAGCTGAACTGATCATGTGGACAACAGAACAAAACAAAATAAGAGAAAAGCAAAAAGTTGCAATCCAAAGTGGCAACAAGCCATGGGCTAGTTTTCTCTGATTAGTCGACACAAAACTCTAGATGAAGTTTGTACCACAAGGAAACCAGAGCATAAGGAGAGAGCAAAAAAAGAATGAGATCGAAATAATACAAACTAGCTGCAAGAGAAATACCATGTACCTTCTAATGGAAATCAGATGAGAGTTCAGTCATCCAGTCACCAGGGGAATCTCTCCCCACCTTTTATTGGCCATAAACTATTCCTCAAACTTCACATAGTCTCTTGCTGGTAACCAGCAACTGCTTAGAATCTGCTTATGGATGGGAAAGGGGGTGCAGGGTGCAGAGGCGGGGCTTGCTTGACAGAGGTCAGGAGAAACATGCTAACCTTCTATCTCAGGTGTGGGGGACATCCTCCCCCACCCACCCACACTGTGCACAGGTGCCTGAAATTCCTGTTACAGAACAGGTTTAATAAATAATATACAATGTGGGTAGACGACAGCCAGCACCTTAACCATGTATTGCATTTACAAGACAGAGAGAGCAGAAAACACAGGGCAAGAAATCTTGAGAGGGTCAGAAGAAGGCTGCAGAGATTTCATAGGTCTACCTAGGGTCTTCCTGGACACTGGGGAATCCTATCATTCATATATCTATGCAATACAAAATTATCTTATATTACTTTTATGTTTATATGTATGTACGTTTGGTTAAATAACTTGAGATCATCCCAATAACCCATTACTACTGTCAGAATATTTTACTTTGGAAACTGAAGGCATGATGATCACTTAAGAAGCCAAGTCCCTTCTGCTCCTTGATTATGTGAAGACAGAGGTTTCTTATCTACTTTTCCAAACTGCCGTGCCCCCCTCAGGATCGAGGGAGAATTCACAACATCTCTAAGGTATGGGAAGCCCTTGGTAGGAGGAAGAAGGAATGAGGTAGAGCTAGGGTAGCGATCGGGAGGTGGACAGTCACACAAGCACATGCTGAGAGTATGGGCCACTACCGAGCTAATGTGCTTCTGCGTCTCCTTGACACGTTTCACTTCAGGCAGGTCGGGGATTGGAGTTCCCTGTCCAATTGCTTCCTTATACTTCACCTGCCGATATAAACATGGGAAAAGAAAGGTATTACTACATGCCGGACAGCTGTTCTTCCTAACACATACGTGTGTCTGATTAGCAACCCACAATTTCTACAGTCACAATTTAAACAACACAAGCCCTATACTTAGTGTGAAGGGGACCACATGCTAATATTGGGTCAGAGGAGAACAATTCCGAGGACAGGGACACTTGGTCTCCTCATCTCTGGGGGCAAGGTTGGGGTACCTATTTAGACCATAGCCCCTTAGCTTTCCTGCATACCCCAGTGTTTTTTTTTTTTTTTTGTCTTTTTCCGTGTCCGGCAACGGATCGCAACCACTCATGGAAGATGGTGATAGTTCATATTCAGTGATGGGAAGCCACTGATGGGCTCTGGACATACTACCCCAAAATATGGCACTTCAGCATTTGAGAAAACAGCAGAAGTAGGAGGGTCTCTCTGACTTTCTCCCACTGTTTTCCCCTCAAACAGGCAGTCAAAGAACTCTCTGACCTTCTACAGTAGATCATAAGACCCTCATTCCAGAGGGGTCTTCCCTGTACCCCAAGGGAGCTTAAGACATAGAGATGCCAAGAAGAATCTGAACACCCAGGCCTTTCTAAATTCTCCCAGTTGACTACATTAGCTCATACCCTCTTTGTCTAGTCGTACTTCATGACTGTCCATAAAAATACACAGATCTCCTTGTTTCTTTGGGTCTTCATTTCTGAAGGCTCCCATGTCATGTAGAACTTATTTAATATAATTTATATTTTTCTCTTGTTAATCTGTCTTTTGTTATAGGGGTGCCGACCAAGAACCTTGTGATGGGTGAGGAAAAGATAATACTTTTCTCCCCTACACCATCAACAAAGTATCAGATGGGTCTTTCATGCTGTGATTTGGGGATTGAAATGTAAGGCGAGCTCAGAGAAAAATCGACATACATTTCCGGGGGCGTGGATGGAGCTGCGGAGCTCAATAGTCCCATTGCAGGGGTGGGCTACCCGAGCGTGTGCCTGGAGACATCCTCCTCAGCCTGCCCAGGTCCCTGTGGGCTGTGTCTGAAAGTCAATAAAACTTACAAGGCTGAAGTTCTTTTGGTTCTCCCGGACTCTCTGCATCTCTGGGGTGTCCAAAACGGTCTCATAATATGACATGGATTTCTCGGCATCTTCCTTGTACTTTTTCTGGGAATAGATTCCAAGAAATAAGGAGGGTAAACACCACAGGGATTTGGGCCAATGGGACCTAAAATAGCTCTTCTGGCTCAGCAGAGGAGAAGTCCTTTGTATTTTCCTGACTGCCAAGGATGTTGGGAGTTAGAAAGCAGAGCCCTCTTGGTCAGTGAGCACCACGCCTCCTTTTGCCAGGACTGAGCCTGGCATTTAATAAGACCCACTGTCATGGCAGAGCTGGCAGAGAAGGGCCCATGCTGGCTGGCCCACATGAAGGGGACCATTCAACCGGGAGGCAGAGAGAAGCAGGAGGATTAAGAGCTGAGAACGCGGCCTCCTGAAAGCCGGCCTTCGCTAGTGAAAAGGATCACTGACCATGAGCAGTGCAGTGGGGCTCCTGGCTGCAGGACTGAGCAGGCCCAAAAGGCGCTTCCAGAAAATGGCTCGGTGCTGCAGAAACCAGCCTAGTAAACAGATAGATCTGGGGCCACCACTGTGGCCAACCCGTCAGCCAAAGACTGCTCTACACCAGCCATTGCTCTTCCTTGGGCTTCCCTGCTCAGCCCCAGCCTTTGGTCAGACAGACTTGTTCACAGGGGGCTGCTCTTCTCCTGGGCACTTCTGCAGTCAGCTCCCTGCTCTCTGCAGCAGAACTCTTCCTCTGCCTTAGAGCCTTGTCTTTCTTTCATCACTTGCCATTATGTCCTTTCACTTTTCTCTACAGCTTTATTTAGCTCCAGTTTCTTCCTCTTTTCTGGGAAGTTCAGGTGTATAGGGATGAGGGAAAGAAACTAGCCATTTTTATAATAGGGACAATGCTATTCTTTCTATCTATCTCTATCTAAATTATATTAAATATGAATTACATTAATAAGTGTTGAAAATTTTAATCTTCCCAAAGACAACAACAAACCAATTTTAGGCAATAAAATATTTTGGCCTAGATTTTGTTCATCTAATGGAAAGCCATTTAGAGCCAAGGTTTGCACACAGCATTTGGAGATATTCTGGGAGGAAAGGACCTGGACTTCCCTGGCATTAAGAAGTGTTCAGTACAGTACCCTGAATTTGTGAGTCAGCTCACACTGCTTGCACTAACCCCCCAGTATGAGGTTTAGAATTATAAAATACAGATGCTCCACTGGAAATTGAAAAGTTTTGTGAAAAACACCAGCACCAATCCATCACTCAAGGGAAAATACCGATCTGAACTGTGGAAGAAGTAACCTGCCTGGCCATATTTTAAACTCTGAGGAACCAGCCAAAGAGAATTCCAGAAGAACACACATGACCAGAGTGAGTCAGGCCTGCATGCTGAAGTTTTCCTTAAAGACTAGCAATGCCAAAAGGCTGAAGTTAATACAACTGGTGGACCTCTCATAGCCCAAAGAATGATGGCCTTCCTGGTTTCCCCAGTGAACACAACATTATAGTCTGGGGCCCATGTAATGTTGGTAATTAAAAACAAGTTAATTATTCTTCTCTGTCACTCCCAAATAAAAGGTTCATTTCTCCCATATGAATATATCTGTTTCCTAATTAAACTACTCTCTAGCAATAATTATATTTTTCATATGTAACTTTATGACATAAAATTGTGTAATGATAATAAAGAGTTTAAATCCATGATTTTCCAACCTGATTGGTCATTAAAAGATCATCTGTGAAGATTAAAAACAAACAGACAAAAACATTTACAGAGCCTACCTCGGATTTGCTAGCTTCAGAATTCCAGGGTGGGAGCAGGGAATCTCCATTCCCAAGTGTTTATAAAACAAAGCTAGGTCAGGTAACTACTGCTTTGGAGCTCACTGATCAGAAGATAAGCAAGAACTGTAATGTGGGGCTACTCAAACAAGTTAGAGATTAATAATCCTAATGTGGGTTGTCTACTATGTTTCTTCTAGATTCGCTCACAAATTATGAGCCTTTACATGTTACAGTATTGATTCATTAATTATCGTTTGCACTGTGTAAGAGTTCTTAGTACCTTAAAATTCCCTCTTATACTGTATTTTAAATCTAACACAGAAACCTCAACTCTGACTCAAACCTGTATCACAGGTGAATCTTTTCTTTTTTATTGGGCAAAATTGTGATTTGAAAGAATCTCCTTAGGTGTTCATGGGAGGACTTGTGTTCTTCATGATTGGGGACTATTAGTGACACTCTGATGAATCTCCTTACCTTACTTGAAAGGTTCTTGACTTGTTGGGCATGAATGATCTCCGGAGTATCAACCACAGAAGTGAAATTGGCTTTTTCCATTTCTGCTGATTGCTTATACTTAATCTGTAAAAGGACAGCCAACAGTGGGACAAGTGTTTACGATGTGCACATCATTTGTTCAATTGCTTTGATTAAGAGGGACTCATTCACTTGACATTCTTCCTATGGTGTTTATAGCTTTATGCTAAAGAGTGAGATTCAGAAAGGAGGTCCTAGCTGTTGAAAGACTTACTATCTAGTTGGGTGTAGGGTGGGGCATGGGTAAGGAGGGAGATAATCAACAGTAAGGCAGAGATTGTTTACATAGAACTGGGAGAATGACAAGTGAGCAAAAGACCCACTCCAATTAGCATTACACAAGGTAGGATGCCTAAAAACTCTGTTTTAAATTTAGACATTGAAAGGAGGGAAAGAAAGGACTCCCCAAATATTCTAAGCAAGGAAATCCAAGAAAGAAGGCCAGGATGTTAGGAGTCTGCCCCAGCTCCAAGCACCTATTTGGTTCTCCAGCCTCTGTCCCTTGTGGCTGTAGACTCACACGGCAGATAGAAGCAAGCCTGGCAAAGGGTCCATGACCCTTTCAATGGAATGGATTCCAGCGGGTGGATGTTCAACAATGCCACTGTATGCATTTGACTGTCACTGACCAACAGGAAAGATGACAGAGGGACAGCATTGTGTCCTTATAATCACAACTACTTTTTAAAAAGATTGACATGGAAAGTAACACTGACCTGACTGGCAATATCAGTAGCATTCCTGGCCCTCAGAAAATCTGGAGTTTCATTGGCCATGGCATTCAGCCCTCTTCCTTTGACTTCCAGCTCCAGGTCTCGCTTATATTCTTTCTATAGTAGCATTAAAAGAAAAAAAAAAGTTAACTTCCACTGCTAGGTAATAAACAAAAAGAGTGAATATAAATCTGCACAACATGCCACCTCAGTTGTCACAGAGAGTGTCTCTTGCTAGTCACCTTCACTGTACCACGTGGTGGGATAGAGTGGGGTCTGCAAAAGCCCACTGTAGGAAACTATTCTACACATGTCCACATGTCAATATGAGTCAATATATGGCCTCCTTATGAATACTTTTAGCATTCTCTGCTTAGAAAACAAAAGTATAAAGTAAATTTTAAATTTGGTTTGGTACAAAAGTAGGATTAAACTTAGGTGCACATCACTCCAGTGTGGCGTTTTTATTTAAACTGAGTGTACTGAGGTTAAATCAAATAATATTAGATTTAAAAACAGATTCTGATACCACCATAGAAACATACTGTTACAATATCCACTCACCAGAAATTGAGATATAATTTATTTAATGCCCAATAATCATGTTGGATATGGAATTTGAAAATCAAAAACTCTCTTTTTATCTCTTCTCTGTTTTTGTTTTGTGTGCATGTGTGCAACTTGGCTAGGTAGGGGAAGATGCTCTATTAATTATGTGCATGCAGTCGGTGGTGGGCCCACCTCATTGAGGATCTGAGTGGCGTTCTTTGCTCTTAGCATGTCAGGTGTATCTTCCATTTCAGTGAGACCCTTTCCACGAATGCTTTCCTCCAGATCTTTCCTGTACTCTTTCTATATCACAAAATGAAAGCAAAAACAAAGAGAAGAAAGGTTGGATTGTTTCTCTTAGGTGAAGAGCCAAGAAACCAAAAAATAAAAAACACTTCCAACTTTTAAACAGCTCACAGTTTAGTAAATAAAGATATGATTAAAGGCATGGACAAGCTTCATCAGTTAATATTAAATATCATATAAAAAACTAGAAATTAATAGAATGCTAAGGTAAGCACATTTTATTAGGTATCCAATTAAAAAATCAGAAGAATTAACGTGGGGAATAAATTAGATGGTAGTACCAAACACATGTGAACCCAGCTTGAAACCCACAGTTAGGTGGTGATGAAAATGGCAGACGGAACACATTGATGAGTGTCATTAGTGCAATTATTTGAATCAAGAGGGAAAGAAAAGACCAAGTGGGCACTACCTCGCTTGCTATTTTGGTTGCATATTTGACATGTAACAAAGCTGGCGTGATCTCCAGGCCAGTCAGGTTTCTGCCTTTAATGGACTCTTCGTAATCTTTCCTATATTCTTTCTAATATGAGTAGGAAGAAAAGACAAGTTAAAAAACATTCTTTGTTGCAATTTATTCTCAATCCTAGGAAGAAAAAAATTACAACATTTTCTTCTTATGTGCCGTCTCAACTCAATCATAGTTCTGCTAATGGTCACATATTCAAAACACGTCTGATTGTTCTGGAAATATTTTGTCTAGAGCAAATGGCCCCAAGGAAGCTCAGAGGCTGAGAAACTCTGATGGGCCCCTCACTCATCTGTCTGACGTTGTGACTGGAGCTGACCCTCTGCCAGAGAGAAGGGTGGACGCCTCATCAAGACTCGGAATCCACTGTCTCTCCTGGAGCCTTCCCACATTGTTTTCAAGATGACAAAAGATTTTGAGAACTAGAAATAAGTGACTCAAGGGGAAAATAAAAATCTCAGAGGAAGGAGAGCCTGAGGGAACTGAATGCAAACTTGGCCTTTTTCATTATCATGATTTATTTTTTTTTTCCTTTTTGTCTTTTTTGTGACCGGCAACGGATTGCAACCCTCAGTGTCGTGCCCGTACCGGACCGGGACCAGCAACGGGATCGCACCCCTCGGTGTTGTTCCCGCACCTCGCTCAGCCAGTGAGCAGCCGGTCTGTATGTGGGATCCGAACCCTCGGCGGGAGCGCTGCCGCGCTTCCCAAGCGGCGCACTGTAGCAGTGCACCACTGGGCCGGCCTGACTTATTTTTTTTTTTAATCACTGATAGATCAGGTGAACAAGGCACAGAGAAATCTTGTGGCTTTGTCCACGGTTGACAGAAAGGGCCACCCCGTCATCTTCCTATGCTCCTCTTCCCCTCCAACCCCTGGACTAGGCTGTCTCACAGAGAGACTTGGAATAGATATTGGAACTCCATTTTATAACTTTTTAATTTTAATTGAATTTTAAATTTATAGAAAAGTTGCATGAGTACTACAAGGAACTCCCATAAATCCTTAACTCAGATTCACCAATTGTTTGAAACTATTTTCTACTTTGATGATCTAGCTTTCTATATACCAGAAAGCTCCAAAAACCACTACTTTTATTAAAAACAATTTATTTTTATAGTTGAAGATATGCCCCATGGAGGAGAGGCAAACACAAATTCTAGATAAGCCTGTTTCCCAATGAAAAGAGACTTTCTAAGATTCAAAATAAGACTCCATTCTTCACTTTTGGTTAAAAATAAAAAACAATTTTTTAAAAACACTTCTGGTTACAATTCTAGAATAGAAAATATGGCACCTTAAGTTCTGATTTTCTGGGGTCCTGATGAACACCTTGATCACTGAGCCCCTTTTGTTTGGCTTGGGGCATCCTACTAAAAGTAGAGCATCCCAAAGCCAAAGGTGTGTCTGCGTGGAGGGAACTTTTCATTCATCAAAGAAAAAAAATTCAAATTATATTTAGTACTTGCATAATTTGTTCCAGTATCAGGAGTAGTTTGCAGTGTTCTAATTTTATGAAAATGGCCATTGAAATAAAACATATATGGTAAATATCTACTACTGAGAACAATTTTTTGAAACAGCTGAACCATAGGATTTCTGGGATGGAAAATATTCCAGTAATCACATGTTAAAAAGTTCCATCATCTACCACTTTTGGATAACAGGAGACTGGATATATGTATGGGCAGAGCTCATGTCCATTAGCTTGATGGTATCTTTGTTTCATGGTGTCTTTTTTTTTTTTCATTTTTGTGTGTAATTTTTCTTTTTATGACAGTTTTCCTTTTACAGAGAAATTGAGCAGAAAACACAAATAGTTCCCATACTCTCCCCTCTCCCACATACCCAGTTTCTCCTATTGTGGTGTGTCTTTGTAGGACTTACCCCGCTCTGCATCTGCTGCGACTCTTTGGCAGTGATGTATGTTGGTGTTTCAAAGTCCAACATGGGCTTTCCTCGTTCCTTCTCATACTTTTCTTTGTATTTCACCTAGTGATGAAAAGTCTTGTTAGATATCTCTCTTCTGGTCAATTCCTATGCCTATGCAGAGACCAGTTTAAGGATGGTTCTTTTTAATGGATACAGTATGTACAGTTGGGTGGCATCTCATTGCCATTCAGAACAGTTTCCTGTTGTGTTTGCCTGCGTGGGGGGGAATTACCATTACTGTCTGTAAAGCATAACTCCTATCCTGGGGGGAATGCATGATATTTTTTTACATTGTAGATGAATGTGCACGTTGCGGGGGTGGGGAAGTCAGTCTTGATCAACTTACTATGCTCTGTAATTCTGTGGCCTCTTTGAGGTGCAGCTGCTCCAGGTTATCGGGTATAGTGTGGTAGTGGCCTTTGCTCCTCTCATAGTTCTTCTTGTACTGGTACTGGGGGGAGGGGGCAAAAAAGGCACGTTGGCGGGAAAGCTTCAGCATTCCTATTTTTTTCTCTTCAGATAGGACATTTGCACAGCAGCAATTTTTTTGTCAAGACCAAACTGAAATTAGCAAACACTAAATGGGGGCTTAAGAAAAAGTTGTAAAAGATGAAGATCCAACTTCAGTATTTTTAGTTACTGCCAGAAGTAAACACTTAGGTTATATGGCGTTATAAGTGAAGGGTTAAAAGTGAAAGAAACTACTTCAGATGGTAGTTCTATGTCCTTAGAAAGAAGAAAGGGAATGGTTAATTGAAAAAAAGTTTAAATATTCTAAAAATAGAAGCATTTCTACATTCGGAGAGGTGTTATAGTCAGTGGAGATTTGGTAGATTGTGCTGTAATTTGGAAGAATACACTCAAGAGAACAGCTTTGTGATAAATCTAGTGTATCAGTAGCAGAGAGATGCATGTGAGCTCAGAGAAGGAATTTAATTGCAAATGGGTGAAACAGCTGTTTCTAGAAAAAACAGTTAAGCTTACAGAACTGGCCAGTTGGCTTGTGCTCAGGACGTGATTCATTATCAGAGACTCCTTCATGTCAGTTACAGGTTTGTGAAGTTTCTTCAGGTCAGCCTTATATTTAACCTACATGTTAAAGGGGGAAAAAGGAAATCACATAAATATAAAATGGAAAACAGCACTGATGGAAATCAGACTAAGATATCCCATTGTAAAACAAATGCTGGAGATGGTGTTGAAAAACCATATCTTATCCACAGTAGCCCAAAGGTGGAAACAACCCAAATGTTCATCAACAGATGAACAGATAAACCAAACATGGTAAATACATACAATGGAATTTTATTCCACCATAAAAAGGAATGAAGTTCTGATACATGCTACAACATGGACAAACCCTGAAAATATTATGCTAAGTGAAATAAGCCACACACAAAAGGATACATATTGCATCATTCAATTTATATAAAATCTCTAAAATAGGCAAATTCATACAGACTGAGAATAGATTAAAGGTTACCAGGGGGTGGGGAAAGGAGATAATGGGAATTTATTGCCTAATGGTTCTAGAGTTTCTGTCAGGAGTGATGAAAAAGTGTTGGAACCAGATAGTCGTGGTAGTTAGACAACATTGTAAATACAACTAATGCTACTAAATCGTACACTTAAAAATGGTTAAAATGTCAAATATGTGCTATATATTTTACCACAATTAAAAAAACATACCTCACTTGCGAGATTATTAGCATCTTTCATGGTTTTGTAGAGCTGGCTGTCTTTTGGATTGAATTTTGGCGTCTTGCCCTTATCTTTGTCAAAATTTTCTCGGTATTTAACCTAACAGCAAATGCAAACATCTGAATTATTCCTGGACAGTTATTTGGATATAAGGAATGGTGGAAACATAAATGCCAAAGAATATGCATGAAACATAAAGTGATCATATAATTTATTACTCAAACTGGGACATTTCTAAGAGTACGAGGGGGCACTACTTATAATTAATAATTTGTTGAGACAGCACATAATCAAGTATTAAAATCAAGTGATGTAGTATTGGCCTTGCTCATTCACATATTATCCATAGGTATGAAAAATAATCACCTCTTTCTAATCCAAAAGAGAAATAAGTGGAAAAGGCTTCAGGCTAAATTCAGAGAAGTGATCTAATGTGTGTGATTTGGAGCATTTTGCTCTCCTAACTAGCAAAACCAAAAATATTTTAGGTGTACTCTAAGGATTTCAAAGAGGGGTTGTAAATGATCAAGAAGGTTGAGAAGTAAGAAATCTGTTAAATTAAGAGAATTTGTTGTTATTTAAAAATAGTGCTTTGACTCTATCATTTTAAATTTTTAAACTTGGCCAAAAATGGTTTAACTTTTCAGTAGAAAAAGAACAGAGAGGGCCGGCCCGGTGGCACACTGGATAGTGCGCCGCTTGGGAAGCGCGGCGGCGCTCCCGCCCGAGGGTTCGGATCCCACATACGGACCGGTTCCCGCTCACTGGCTGAGCGAGGCGCGGGAGCAACACCGAGGGTTGCGATCCCGTTGCTGGTCCCCGGTCCGGTACGGGGGCAACACTGA